GACCCTGGGGTCAAACTTCTGACGCCAGGAGGGAAGCAGGCATGTCTCGACATGACCCATGGCCACGTAAGGCCACACCCAGGGGTTCACATTAGCAATAGTGATGGGTGTGTGGTCGTTGTACTGCCTACTCTCCGTACGGCCGCTGACAGGCACATCGGTTCACCACGCCGTCCGCCGGGATGGGATGGGACGCCACGACCAGCTGATGACGTCGGGGCATGGCACCAGGGGTGAATAGGAGCCCAACGTGGAGCCATCCCCATCACCATCTACAGTGTCGGTGGGACCCGCATGAAGGAGAAGAAGGACCTGGCGGCCCTGGAGGCCTTCTTCTCCCTCACTTTTCTCCTTCTTTCTCTCTGTAACCTGTGCCTTCCCCTTCACCTATAAAAGGAGAAGCAGGACGCCCCAAGAAGGGGCAAAAAACACATAGCTGAACAAACTCTCAGCACTCTTCAATCTTTTCACCAGAGACTTAGGAACTTCTCCCTCTCTCGCTTGTTTGTAACCCCTAATACAAACCAGTGCCGGTAACACGAGCAATAGCAGACTGGACGTAGGGACATTTTGCCTAAACAAGTATAAATCCTTATGTCCTCCGAGCACACCATCCAGGCTAGATGCGCAGATACAAATTTACTAGTCGGTGATCCGAAACACCGACAACAGTGGATATGAAAAATAGAGGTTATGCACTAGGGCTTGCCTTGGGCAGGCGCGGTGTCAACTGCGTTTGTCAGTGGTGGCTCTGGGACCTCCTCCTACACGAGAATCTCCTCCTCATAGTCCTCAATGATCTCCTCGAACTCGTGCTCGCCGGTAGTCACGATCTCCACCGACTCGTTCTCTGTATGCATGCGATGATGATGATGCAACGATTTAGTATTTAGGCAACAACAACTTTTAAAATACGAACACATATGCCATACTAACAAGCTAGCTCTAATGACTAATATACTAAGCTAACTATCATCTTCATAGAGCAAGATATTGAGTTCAACTAACAAGCACCTAGTTTCGCAATTCAATGGTAAACCTTTATTTCTATTAAAGATTTAATGTATATTTAAACATAGAACATTTAACTACCCTAATGTTTAGTCTAGTTTAAGGCCACAAAAATTATAGTGAGCACATAATAATATAATGAAGCTACGGTAAAAAATTCAGGATTAAAGTTATCATCAATTTACCACAAAAATTCCTACAATAATTATCCTAATAATATTAAACAGTTTCAAACGATTTAATAGCCCTTAGTATCAACACAAATATACATGATCTATCTATACTACTAGATAGATCACAATTTTAGGAACCTAACAAAATTATTTTTCTAATTTTTGGACACCTACACGAATTTATATCAATTATAGAAATCTACCTCAGAAATTGAAATGGAAAAACTATTACTAATTCCTAAGAAAAAGAAAAAGTGGATTCAACCACGCGGCCCACGCGCGAGACGGCCCACGGTGGGGGAGCCCGCGCGCGCTGGCGCTTTTGAAAAAGAGCCCTCAGACTTCTCCCAAACTACACCTAAGTCCTAACACTATTTCTTCCTCTTTCTGACGAATTCATTTAACCCCATGAGTTTTTCCTAATTTCCCCACACACACCCCCGGGCAACTCTATACACGGCGGCGCGGCGAGCAGCGGCACATGGTGGCTATGCCAGCCACCTGGGACCTGCGTGGACCCATCAAGCGGTTCGATCGCCATCCCCGACCTAAACTACTGTGCTGGGTAGCGGTGACGGGTGGCAGGGCTCATTGGTGAGGGCTATAGTGACACGCGGCCATCCATGATGGCGGCGTGACTGCTTTGGTGAACTATGGTAGCTATAGACATAGACCTAACCAGCTAGCGAGTGAGCATCAAGAGCTTACCGTGGACTCGGCCAAATTGATAGTTGGAGTAGAGGATGGCGGAGGAGGGCTGGCCGCGTGCGACCGAGCAGTGCGGCGGCGCACCACGGCAAACACGGCCATGTCAGCGACGCCAGGGTAGTGGTTTGGCTGATGAGCACAGGGTGAAGAGGGAGTCAAAGTGGAGCTAATGGTGCAGTTGGACCGGCCTCTCACGGCTCCATTTAGGGAGTTGCCACCACGCCGGATGAGCGCAGCCTTAATGGCCCGGCGGCGGGGAAGTGGCCAAATTGAGGCTTGGCAGGCTCAACTCAAGGCGGGATGGGGTCGGGCGGCTAGGTGGCTTAATGGCGAGGCCACGGATGAGTTGAATCGAGTTGAGGTGATCTCTCTCTGGTGGATTTCGTTGGCCCGGCTTAGACGACAGAGACAACTGGGAGGAGGGTAGGTCCGAGCTCTGGCCATCCTCGTCTTGGCGGCAAGCGGTAGGCCGGACCCAAGACAGCACCTGCGCGCTGGCTATGAGACAACGCAGCTAGAAAATGTGTGCGCGCGTAGGCAGTTGGGGAGCGCGGCATGTGCGGCCACAGCGCCATTAAGGCGAGGCGACGGCGCAAGGCAGCAGGGAGCCAGCCCACATGCGCACGGTGATGACGTGAGCAACAACAACATAGCATGGTGCCACAATAGCAGCAGCACCACGTGGCAGCGGCCAGAGGCGGCCAGTGCCACGGCCGGCCAGGTAGGCGGCGGCCAACAACACAGCAGCGAGGTGGGGTAGTAGCACGGCGGCTAGCAGCGGCCAAGCCGCAGCCAGGCCACGGCCAAGCCGAGGACGGCCTCGGCCAGCCAGCATGCGGCAGCCCGCGTGCGCACGGGCGGCCAAACATGGCGACATCGCGCTCCCGAGCATGGTGACCACGCCCACCCGGGCAACCCACCCGATATGATGTTCGTGCACGTATTTTAAAAGCGTTTGCGAAAACTAAATCGATTTGATTGAGGCTCGACCACCTAAACCATGCTAAAGAGGGTACATCAAACTACCATACTGAACAAAAACATAGCATTGACCTTTAGCTAATTTTTTCAAAATTAATTCACCGCTATAATGTTTTATTCTTGTTTTTATCTGTGAACAAGTGGTGTTTAATAGCTTAGGAATAGTTTCAAGTCAAATTCTACGAAATTTTTTCAAAACAATTTGAATTTTTTTTGAACTTGGTCTGATATTTCCGATATATCTTGCTTATCCTGTTTATCCATGACCTCCGATAAATTTTTATTTCCGATAATGAAAACCTTGGTCGTAAGACACCGGCCGGACATGGAGAAGAAGCACACGGCGGAGCTTTGGCAGCGCGGCCAGCCCTAGGGATGGCCCCTCCCCGCGGGCATGGCGGCAACTGGCGGTCGCGTGCCTAGGCCCACGCGTGGTGTCGCGCGGTGGCCCTTGGCGGCGGCGGGCCTCTCCCCGTGGGCAGCTGGCGGCTGTGCTCTCCCCTTTCCTCCCCTCCGGTGATGGCAGCAGCAAGGGGTCCTGCATCCAGCGACAACACGGCTCGCCCCATGCATACGTCAGCCTGACAATGCCCTCCACCTTGATCTCCTCTACTTCCTCCGTGAAACCCCTGCTGCGGCGGGCGACCAAGGGGCGGCAGGAGAAGGGCGAGCTGGCGGGGATAAGCATGGTGGTAGCCATGCTGCTGCTGCTCTGTGCCGCCTCGCTCCTCTGCTCAGCTGCCGCGTTGCTGCTGCTCTAGGCCGGTGGGGTCTCCATCACTGTGGCGATGGAGGCGGCAGTGGATGTGGACAAGCAGTCCGTCTCCGCGCTAGCTACTACGACCAGATTGACGGGGTCGGTTTGCGCCACCGGGGAGCGTGCCTCTATGCTGGTCGCTAGCGCGAGCACTAGTGCTAGCACTAGCGCCAATGACTTGTTCTCCATGTCCGGCCGGTGTCTTAGGCAAATACTCGGTGAACAGCCGGAGGTTGAAGACAAGGGACAAGCTGTATTTTCCCACCTTCTCTCTCTTGACATGTGAGGAAATGAATAAAACAATGCGTGCGGTGTCAGGAGCAAAATAACATTTTCTTGTAATGGTACTCGGCAAATACACGAAATAGCGGTGTTGAACAACCAATTCTATCAAAGAACGGTCTCCTCTAGCAAAATTTTCCCTAAAAGCAATGCCCCAAGAAATTTTCCCTCTATAGGACTGTTGAAGCGGACAAAAGCATCTCCCATGAGGCAGGGCCAAATCTTGAACACGCGCCTCATGTACATCCATAAAGAACCTTCGGAGTCCAAGCCAAGGCTAAAAGCAAGAAGGAATCCGAATCCTCCTATTTTGATTGATTTACTAAAGGCGAAGGAAAGAAAGAAGTAGGCTTGTACCAGCTCTTCTATGAAATTTCAATAAAGTAAATAAGGAAATTCGAAAAATAGGAAAGGCTCTCAGTTGATCACACACAAGTAGGATAGGCTTGGCAATTCCACTACTTTAGTTGACACACTCACCTTGTCTTCCCATTTCATTTTGTTTCATTCCTTTCTTTAGGCTGTAGTGTAGCACTCGGTGATGAAGACTTCATGGCCGAAAAGAGGCGGGTGCATGGCGTGGTCCTCTAGCGTGAAGCCGAGGGGCAAATGCGGGTGGGGATCCACCGCAAAGTTGGCCATTTGAGGCGACGTACGAGTTGGGGTTTTCTACAGTTTGAGGATGATAACCGGGAGGAACTGTGCAAGCGGAGGCTTCAAGGGGGACGGTGGAACCAGCGTTTATAGGGTAAATTCCATGCGCCCCTTCAACTTCCAAAATGCGGGATTTGCGGGAGGAGAACACAGATCGATTCATGGCTGGAGGAAAGTGGACGACTTCAGCGAAACTTCTCTTTGATTTTGGACCAACGGTGGTGGTCCATTCAGCCTCCAGTTCCAAGCGCCAAAGCTCGAGTCTTTGCGCCAGTTGGGATTGGGACCACATCAAGCAAAAATAAAAGTACCATAATAAATTCACATAGGGAAGTAGTACTATTATATTACAACATGGAACTACAGTAGCATAATAGGATTAGGGGTAGAATTTTTTACACACACGTCACACTACATGCATCTCGAAAAGATTATTAAGGCAGGATGACAGGAATGGTCCTATCGAAGATCCAGTTGATGGGGATGGGTGTGGGTTTCTTCTCTGCTTTGACTGCTCTATCGTGGGCCTTCTCTTCCATCCTCTTAATCTTGTACGGCAGCGCGCACAGGTAGTCCCGCGCGCGCCTCCCCTCGCCGGTGAGCCCCGCCTGAAGTTCCTCGACGCCCCACTGCCGTATGAGGTGCTCGAGGATGCCGCGGTAGTCGGAAACCGTGTACGTGCCGGCCTGCTGCGCGATGGCGATGAAGCGAGCGTAGAAGTCGCCGCCGCTGTGGCGGCCGTCGTTGATGAAGGCGGTGGGCATGTCGATCCGGCGCCGCATCATGTACGCCATGGCGCGCACGGCGGCGTCCGGGTCCGCATCGAAGAGCTTACCCACGACGCGGGTGTACGCCGCCTCGTGCCGCTTCTCGTCGGCGGCGACGGTGCCGCAGATGCGCGCGAGCGCGGCGTCCCCGGCGCCGCGCGCGCCCACGAGGCGCGCCGTGTTGCCGTGCGCGATGGCGGTGGCGCGCTCCTGGAAGGCGACGTAGACGAAGCCGTGGAACGGGCTCGCCGGCGCGTGCACCACCATCCCGTCGCGGATGAGGCGCTGCACGGTGCGCTCCACCTCGCGCATGTCCAAGCGGCCCGAGAGGTGCATGTAGCGGTTGAGCACGTCGCCGTGGCGGTTCTCCTCGGCGGACCAGCCGCGGATCCAGCGCGCCCACGCCGTGGCGTCAGCGCCCGTGGCGTCCCGCACGACCTCGAGGCGGTTCAGCCCGCTCGGGTACGTGGGCAGCGCCTCCTCCGTGACCGCGTTGGCGACGAGGCAGACGAGGAGGTCGTCCGGCACCTCCGCCGCCGCCGCGCGGAGCTCGAGGCACGCGGCGTGGAAGCCGTCGCTGCCCAGAGCCGCCGGGTCCGGCAGCAGGTCGGACGGCTGCCACGACGCCTCCACCGGCATGAGCAACGGTAGCACGTGCTCCTCCACCCACGGCTCCAGCTGGCGAAGCACCTCCAGCCTCTCCGGCGCCAGGTAGCTCCGCCATTCCTCCTCCCCCTCGACCACGTCCTTCTTCTCTCGCCGGCGTCCGGCCGCGGCCACAGTCGTCTCTCCACCACTCGCTGTAGCCATATTCCTGCACCTCCTGCAGCATGGACGGCTCAGCGTTGCACTTGCATACGTCAACAATCACTCAACACATGTCGTCTGAATTGAGAAAAAAAAGTAGTTTGTGGCTGTTGCTTCGTTATGCTGCACTTATTTTGTTATACGTACTTATAACTTTATTAGATCGAGCAAAATGATACTGTGTCTCATCATGCACGTACATACCAGTTGCTGCGAGTAATCGCTACGGCATGGATACCATTGCCGCCGCCAGCAGCAGCAGCTGTAGGTGGTTTGCATGTACCAGGAGCACTTGGTTTACACGATGGGCTGTAAAAGGCAGATGCCATGATCATCGTGTTGAAGCAGCTTGCAGAGGAGATCACTCGAGCCTACACTACACCAGTGGTAAACCAGATGAGTTGGTTGTTGCTTCTGCTAGCTGCACGGCTGCACCACACCACCAGGTCCTCGGGGCGTTCTTTATAGAACGAGCTGCTAGCTTTTGGCGCAGTATTTGCTGTTACTACCGCGCAGTTGTTTTGTGGGAGTAAATGGCAAGAGTTATTCAGTGTCTCAGAGGCGAGCAGTGGCATTGGCACATCTATGCCACTACTCTCTTATGCAGTTACGAGTCGTCAGCCATCGATACGGTATAGTACCTCATCGCTGTCCTTTCCTACCAGATTCCGACCGTCTTTCACATGGTTCTGCTCAAGTTCAATGAATGCAAGCGTAGTTCCTCCCGGGTCCCGGAAGGTAGTTTTGGCCTGACCACGTAAAAAGGACACATATAACGTGCGACGAGTCTTCTCCCTCCCAGCAACCCTTCTCCTCAGCCCCCTCCACGCCCTCCACAGAGCCAACGGCTCCTGCTGCCTCACGGCACCGCCCCAATTAACCTCCCGCCCCCGCCTGTCGACCCCGCCCTCCACTAGCCTCTGCCGTCCTCCTCCTCGCCCCTGCCCCCACCACTGGCGGCTCCCGTCGCCTTGCCACGCCACCCACCTCCCCCCTTTGCCCTTCGACCCTGCCCCACCCTAATCCCAGGGCAGGGCGCTGGCGAGCGCCGCCGCGACGACCATGCCGCCATCCCCTCCCAACCGCCTTCTCCCGCCGCCCTTGCGGAGAAGAGGCAGCAGGGTGGCTGTGTTTTAAGGGTTTGGAATTCGTGGAGAATTCTTATATGGATGCTTGTGTGGTGCATCTTGTGAACACTTCTATGCAATAAAGATCAAGTTTTGATAATTGATGGTGTTGGTACTCTTGTTCCTTTGCTCAGCTCTTTGATTTAGATGCGTAGCTTTCAGTTTTAGATTTATTTTGTTGGTTGCAAGTTTAGACTTGATTTAATCTATCTAAAACAGTGCTAGGGCATCAACCGTGTGATTTGATAAGTTTCGTTGATTAATCTTTTATAGATTTTGTTTGATCACGAATTTAGGCTTGATTAATTCTCGTCACCATCAGACACAGTGACCTTGTTTATTTTATATCTCGAGTTCTAGATCTCCGAATCCTATGATTCCAGTTGGGTTAGTTCAAGAATTTCATATACTTTTATTTGTAAAAGTTTGAGATCAATTGGAGATACAGGTTTTGGTCGACATTATTTTTAGTAGAGGCACAGTGTTCTGTCCAGAATAGAAAACGAGGCAAGTTTTGTGTTTAGGGGAAACTTTTAAAATTAGTTTTTGACTTATGCAATTATTCAACCCCCTCTGATTGCCTATCTAAGTGTGAATCAATCCTACACAACTACATATAAGCATACCGAGGTATAACATATGTGGGGGCTTTGCTTGGCCTCCTACCCGCTAGAGGATAACGTGAGGGCGAGGGTGTCCCACAGGAATGAATGAGCGAGAGGTCAGAAGGAACGAAACAGAACAGAGTGACAATAAATTATGGAGTAAATGACCATCAATTCATCGTCTATTACTGTGCCACCCACCGGATATTTATAGGGCATACCGTACCCCACTAGTTATAGGTGTCCCGCTTGAGAATCACTTCGTGTACAATGTAATGGTTCACTTCACCAAGAAAACAAAATTGTGAGGTAACAAAGAAGGTAATGGATTACCCCTATCCTTGAAACCAAATCACATTAATGTTTGGAGACACTTCACAAATCACAAGCAGTAGAAATATTGGAAAGAATTTCATTCTCAAATAGAAGCGGCGGAACAGGCAAAATGAGGCTTTAGCTTGTTAAAGCATCTTCAAGAGTACCTAATAATACTTCTCAATCCTTAATTTTTGGAAAGAATGGAAAAATCCATCTCCAACCGCTTTCAAACTCACCTCCTATTTTTAGCACTTAGGAAACCCTCCCAGCGCGTAAAGATGCGCGGACTCCAGTCCCGTGTATATTCTTTCCCCACGCAGTCTCCTCCGTAGCGCGCTGTGACTTTTTGCCGCAGTTCTTCTTCCTCGCGCCAACGCACACCGTCCAGGGGAAATATTGGGGGGCTCCATGGTACTGTGGTGATGGCCGGCTGCTGCTACCTGCATCGTGGCTGATGGAAAAGCCTGGTGCGTGACCTGCTACTGGCCGGCTGATGGCCTGCTACTACCTGACACGGGTGCCGGCTCGGGTAGGCTACGGATGGGCGGAGGCGTGGAGGGAAGCGCCGGCGACGACGGCCCTGTCTGTTTCGCTCAAATTTGATTTACGTTGTATGCTAAGTTGTTGTAAATGAAAAACACTATTTGTTCAATGAAAAATAATGCTGAAGTAGTGCCGAAGAACATGACAGTAGATGCGAGTTTTGCGATCTCATGCGAAAAATAAACTGTCACCAACAAAAAAAAAATATGTGGGACCAAAATTTTAATTTTTTGGAAGTGAATTATTAGAAATTCTTAGAGAAGGTCTTATTTATTTCTCGCAATATGTTTTAGAGTTGGATGATACCATGGTTTTTGGAAAGAAAATATTGAAAACTCTTGAAGATGCTCTTAGGTTCTCTGTAGTTGTATGTCCATTTAAGTTCAAAGTCTTGACTTATATGTGGGTGTTTGTATTTTCCAATATTTATTTCATGATTTAACGGTGATATTCTTTCACTATGAGGCGAATTGTTCATCGACACTAAAGACGTCTATGATGACTTCATCTATATAAATATATGTTTTTGTAGTCTTTCAAATGTGACGCCTATGATGGTTTCATCAATCTTGAGATATGTTGGCTCGGTTTTTCGGAGGTCCTCAGAAGAATAGAATGTGTGTGCATATATGTATACGAGTGTCTACATGCTCATTTTCTTCCAAAGAAAAACATTGGGTACAAGTAGGGATGAAAACAGATCGGATACGGACGTATATCATTGATATTACATTTATTTTTATATTTCTGTTTGGATTCTGATTCGAATACGGATAGTGTCAGTCATGTCGGATAGGATACGATTGGATATCGACATCATAAATATGCGATTTAAGTATTCGGATATGGATATGATATCGGATGTTGAATATCTGAACTCGGATACAAATAGATCTAAGCTCCTTTAAACGGATTCCGTCTCAAATACGGTCAGAAAATATCCGTACCATTTTCATCCCTGTTACGTGTACAACAAAATGGGCTGTTGTTCCAAGAAGGTGCATTGCGCAGTGACACTGACACGTTGAAGGGGGAAAAGTATTGTGCTCTTGGGACCGCCACTTTAATGTGCTGATCGATGCAAACAATGAGCGCCTCCATGGTTTCCGTCGACAGAGAGCATCGCGTGGCTGCACCAACAGTCCATAAATTCCGAGGCGCCTCTTATCAGCTTGCAGCAGTGTGTATATGCGTGCAGAGATCGACGACGGCGCAGCCAATGGCCAAATACACCGCCGCATCCTGCTGAGGTGCTTCGACGGCGAGGAGTTTCACGTGCCATCTGCACCGGCGCGGCGTTCCGGGGGCTGTCGCGGCCGGCATGGACACCGGAGAGCACGCGGCGACAGGGGCCGTGCCGGTGCCCTCTGGCGTCACTGGCCGGGTCCTCGCCGCAGTGATCGCGTACTGGATCGGCCGCGATGCCGTCGGCACTGGGGATCTCGGCAGGTATGACGAAGAGTACGTCGCCGGGCTCAGCCACGACGTTCGCGTGGACATCATCAACGCGGCGTTCCACCTGGGCGAGCGGGGGCTCTTCGAGCTCTTTGGCCCACCGGTTGCCCCATGTGCCTGAGATGGCAAGTCGACGCAAGCTGGCTACGGATTTCCTGTAAACCTCGGTGACCGTATACTATGTAGCAATACTAGTATTTTTGTAAAGTTTTTGTCAATGAAAAGTCTAATGTTCATTTGGTGGCATGTGATAGACGTAAATTGTTGTTCCTTCTCGTTGCTTATAGGTGAACTATACTACGGTGAATAAATTGAAAGGGGCAAGAAGCAACAGTGCATGACAAGTATGCATACATGATACATTTGGATATAGAGTCCAAGTGCATAGTTTCTATAGATAGTTTTTTTTTGAGAATTTTTATAGATAGTTTTCTAGTGAAAAGATATTGTAATTTAGACTCAACCCTCCTAATGTGACAATAACTATGTGTTGGTGCGGGACCCACAAGATACCCCGCAAGGCAAGGGAGAATATCTAGTCTAACTAGGATTTTTCCTATGTAATCTTAGTAGTAATACTATTCTGTAATCCTACTAAGAACTCTTATTGTAAACCGACTAGGATTCTGGCCTCCTGACTATATAAAGGAGGGCAGGGTTCCTAGAGACGGAACTTCATGACTTCGAACAACACAATACTTCACAATCAATCCAACGCAAAGGCTAACGCCGACTGGACGTAGGGCTGTTACTCGATCAACGATCGAGGGTCCGAACCAGAATAAATCGACTGTGTCTTGCGTTTACTGTCGAGTTCCGCATACGCTGAAGCCCGAACATACTGTCCCGGGTACCCCCGTGGCAGGCTATCGGTGGTCAAACATCGACAGCTGGCGCGCCAGGTAGGGGCCTTCCGTGAATTTGCATCCGAGAACTTGGTGGACCTCGATAGCATGATCTTCTCGACGGGATCAACCTTCATCTTCGGCTCATGGATCTGCAAGGCGACCGACAATGGCAAGCTCCAAAGCCGTCTCCTCGAAGATTCGAATCACCATGAAGACCATTCTATTTCGGCGACTACGACAAGTCAACTCACTAGAAGATTCGCACAACTCACGATGTCCGATTCGATTCAGATTTCGCAACTTTGCGCATCCGACTCAAACTCAGGTTCCGCATTCGAAATGGAGTCTTACCCGAGTTCTTTTCCGATGGGGCTTAAGAACGCGGTCTTGGCCTATCAAGACTACAACTCGGAGTACACTCAGAGTCTTTTCAAGAAGTCGGGTCCTTTTCCATTCGGACTCCACAACATGGCAACATCTTATCAGACATGGCCCGAAGGATTCCTCGATCCGGTGCTTAGAATGCCACTGAAAGGAGCTTAGGAAGGTCTGGTACTGACTATAACATCTCAAGACTGCATCGTCCATTGGCTAGGTTCTATTCCTGAGGATAGCGGTGCCCGACTAGTTGACACGACGACAATAACAATTCTACTCTACCAAGAAGGAGACTCAATCTGCGACCTCGAAGCCTCTACTAAAGTTATCAACTACTCTGACAGTGTGGAAACCGACACCGATAGCGGAACAATTCACGCATGAGAAGTATTCATGGTTTGCCACCCTCGATCACCATTGGTCCCCCAAGAAGCGCCCGACGTCAAGTCATCAGATGAATCTGAGTCCAACATATCACCCTTTACCTAGGGGCACGATGGTGAGACCGAAATTCAGAAGCAAACCAGAGAAAGAAAAAACAAGTTGAAACAAGGACGCCAACACCGTGCTAGGCAGCGCAAGGAAGCTTGGAGCAGATATGAGTCAGATCTAGCCGAGTACAATAGAAGAAAATTAGAATGAGAAGTCGAAGAAAGACGCACGGCGAATACACTCTACGATAGGATCCGAGAAGCACTAGAAGAACTCAGAGCGACCACACATCCTAGTGAAAAACAAGAACAGCTCCGAGACTTTCTCCGGTCAACAGTCCTAGGGACGCACGACGGAAGGAACCGCTCAAAACTACCTGCTAGGTCAACATCTCATGAGCAGGAAGATCAAGATCAAAAGAAGTCCGCTTTCGAGAGACTTAGACCAAGTGGAAGTCACAACAGAGAAAGTAGAAGGAACCATAGTCAAAATGACCGACTTGAACAACCAAGAAAGGTCAGAAGCAGAGCACCTATTCAGACAGCCACATAGAACTACTCTCACCAAAACAACAGTTGGCAAGAAGGGGGTGCTGAATCAGAATACACAGAAACCATAACACACGACAGATTCCACTGTTTTACAAACAGACTTGCTTCAATACGACTACCTCATAAGTTCAAGCCGTCCAACCACTCTAAGTATGATGGCAAGACCAAACCAAGGCAGTGGCTCAGGATTTACTCGCAATCGATCAAACTGGCCGGAGGAGACGACGATATCAAGACCTTATTCTTTCCCATGGCCCTAGAAACCATGCCCCTCCAATGGTTCGACAAATTAAATCCAGGATCAGTCAGAAATTGGGAGGACTTGCAAAGAGCTTTCTGTGAAAATTTCGCGGGTATCATTACACACCCAATCACCCATGCAGAGTTAAAAGGACTCAAGCAGAAAGAAGGTGAAAGTCTCAGAAATTACTATCGACGATTTGGCGAACTACGAGCTCAAGTACATGACATCACCGAACGAGAAGTAATCGAAGCTTTCTCTCACGGAATCATGGCTAGGTGGCAATTTCAAGACTTCTGCAAAGAAAACCCAAGAAACAATGAAGAATTCAGACAAACAATAGAAAAGATGATTACTGCAGAGGAGAAGACATGAGAAAGGTTCCCGGATAGAAACAACCGAGACAACCCGGACAAGCAAAACCATCGAAACAACAGACATCAGGAGAGAAAACGTGGACCAGACAACACCGTAGCGGTAACTAACAAATCAAGGAAGTTTTCCAAACCTAGAAGGTATGACGACATTGAAAACATGCGTTGCATCTTGCACTCTAAAGGAAATCACACCATCGGAAATTGCTACACCTTCAATGAACGATACACAAGGAAAGATAGTAAGAACACTAAAGAAGACAATCAGAAAAAGGAAGAAGACAACCACGAGGACAAAGGATTCCAAAAATCCAGGGGGACAGTAGCAGTGATCTTCGCCGGGGCCCCAGATTCCAGAAGCAAACATCAAGAAAAGCTAGCTCTACGAACCATCATGGCAGCAGAGCCGGCAACTCCAAGATATCTCAATTGGTCACAGTATCCAATCCAGTTTTTAAGAGAAGACCAATGGACAAGCGTAGGAAATGTAGGCCATTACCCACTGGTTCTAGATCCAACTATCGCCGGTATGACTGTCACAAAAGTACTAATCGATGGGGGAGCCGGACTCAACATCATCTTTTCAGAAACGCTAAGGAAGATGGGACTACAACTCGCCGGGATGATTACACCAACGAGTACCCCTTTTTATGGCATGGTACCCGGCAAGGCAGCCATGCCACTAGGACAAATTACTCTATCGGTTACTTTTGGAACTCCCTCAAACTACCATACAGAGTTCATCAAGTTTGAAGTTGCAGACTTCGATTCATCATATCACGCAATCCTCGGGCGCCCAGCACTAGCAAAATTCATGGCAATACCGCATTATCCGTACCTGTTGCTTAAGATGTCAGGGCCTAACGGTGTCCTCTCTCTTCGAAGTGATTTGAAGCACGCTTTTGACTACGATGTTCAGGCAATCCAAATTGCAGCCAAAGCACAAGCCGCCAATGGTAGAAAAGAAATAGCACTATTGTAGCAGAAAATGAGCCCAGAAGAGCTAGAGATACCAGCTAAAAAATCCAGCATCCTCGCACCACCAAAAGAAGCCAACGTCAAGCAAATCGACCTGGGCACCGGTGATCCCTCCAAAATGGCAACCATCAGCGCCCACCTCTCGGCAAAATAGGAACTCGCGCTCACCAATTTTCTTTGGGACAACAAAGATATCTTCGCTTGAAAGCCGGCCGACATGCCAAGTGTCCCAAGAGAGTTGGCTGAGCACAGAATTGATATCAATGAAGGCTCCAAACCTGTGAAGCAATGGCTACGATGATTCTCACCCGACAAGAAGGCAGCAATTAAAAAAGATAAATCACAAAGCTAATGGCAGCCGGATTCATCAGAGAAATCATTCACCCAGATTGGCTAGCAAACCCAGTTCTAGTACAGAAAAAGAATACGAATGAGTGGCGCATGTGTGTCGACTACACAGATCTCAACAAACATTGCCCAAAAGATCCGTTCGGGCTACCACGCATTGATCAGATAGTTGATTCAACAACAGGATCTTCCTTATTATCTTTTCTTGATTGCTATTTCGGATATCACCAGATCGCATTAAAGGAATAAGACCAGAGCAAGACATCTTTCATCACTCCGTTTGGTGCCTACTGCTACAAGACCATGTCGTTTGGACTCAAGAATGCTGGTGTCACTTATCAAAGAGCTATCCAAACATGCCTTGGTGATTAGATCAGAGAGAACGTAGAGGCATACGTGGATGACGTGGTAGTAAAAACAAAGAACCCGGACACACTAATTGAAGACTTAAAGCAAACCTTTGAGAACCTGAAAAGGTGGAGGTAGAAATTGAACCCAAACAAGTGTGTATTCGGAGTTCCTTCAGGACAACTACTCGGGTTCTTGGTCAGTCATCGCAGAATCGAAGCAAGCGCCAAGCAAATTTGAGCCATAACAGAGATGGGCCCTCCTCGAAGTGTCAAAGATGTGTAGAAACTAACAGGCTGCATGGCGGCCCTCAATCGTTTCATATCAAGACTTGGCGAAAAAGGGTTACCTTTCTTTAAACTACTAAAGAAGAAAGATAAGTTCGAGTGGACAGAAGAAGCCAACGAAGCTTTCAAAAAGCTCAAGGCATACCTCACCTCCTCGCCCGTTCTCACACCTCCAAAGAAATATGAAGACATGATGCTGTACATTGCGATAACTTCTACTATGATCAGCACAGCGATAGTCGTGGAAAGAGAAGAAGAAGGGCGCGTATATAAAGTACAACGCCCTGTATACTACATAAGTAAAGTACTGTCAGAATTAAAAATCCGGTACCCGCA